TATGGAGCTCACGCTCCTTTCACTGTAGCTTTGTTGGAATCCTTTGCAGAACTCAACCTTATACCCAATGATTGGATGCAGCTTTGCAGGGCTTGTCTTTCAGGGGGAGATTATTTGTTATGGAGAGGTGAGATGCAAAAGAATTACAAAAAGACTACAGTCAAAAATGCTAAAGCAGGCTGCCCCCAGAATAATCTTGACATGTTAATTGGTGAAGGACAATATGTAGCTTAGAAGCACAGATTGCTTATGATCCTGCGATTTATGCTCAGATAGCTGCAGCAGCCGTTAAAGCTTGGAAAACTTTACCTAACAAAGGATCACGAGAACAGCTTTCTAAGATCCTTCAAGGATCTTCAGAACCTTATTCTGAATTCATTGACCGCCTTCTACAGGTGGGAAGTCGCATTTTTGGGGTTGTGGATTCAGCTATGCCAGTCGTTAAACATCTGGCCTTCAAAAATGCTAATAAGTTCTGCCAACAAGTTTTACGCCCCCATTGAGATGGAGATTTGAATGACTTTATCCGATTATGCAGAGACATTGATGGCACTCACGTAATGGGCCAGGTAATTGTTTCAACCCTTAAGGAAGGCCAAGAAGGAGCTAGGCCTAGGAATTGTTTTCAATGCGAAAGGTCAGGACACCTCAAAAGGAACTGCCCTGCTGGTATAGGAGCAATTATTCAGCCCAGGAAATAAGCCAGGTATGCTGGTACAAGCCTTTAAAAGCTCTTGAGTTCAAGGCCAGCTTGGTCTACTTAGTGAGTTCCTGAAACAACTAGAGGCAGGTTTACTATAAAGAAATCTAGACTCAAGGCTACAACTTCAGGACAATAAAAAAGAAAGTTAAATATGCTTCTTTTCCATTTTAAAATCTTGCTTCTTGGTCAAAAATCTTTTTTTTATAGGCGTATAAATTTATATCAAAGATAAATTAATTTCAGTACTATGGTTCTGTAAAAAAGTTTGAAAGTCAAAAATTGTAATACATTCAGAGGATTTTAAAATTATTTAGGTTATCCTGAGATTTTATTTCTTATAAAGTTGAGGATTGTTCTTTCGATTTCTGTAAAAAATGTTGCTATAATTTTTAATAGACATTTACACTAAATCTGTAAATTACTTTCAGTAAGATTGTCATTTTTGCTGTGTTTCTTCTAGTTTCCCAAGAAAATAGGAGATATTTTTGTTTTCTAATGTCTTATTTTTTTTCTAAAAGGAGTTAAAATTCTTATTATACAAATTTTTCCATTTTGTATGGCCCACTCTTGGGTGGGAATCAAATTGTCTCAGTTTATGGCCCTTTCCTGCTGCCAGGTGTCACTTCGAGATGGACTGCTGAGACTCAGATGTCTTGCTAAATTTATCAAGGGCCAAAGTTACAAATGATAATGGTTAAAAATAAAAAACATTTCTGCCTTCACAAGCAGAGATGACGGGACTCAAACTTCTGTCCTGCTTGCTTAAAGTTATTCCAAGATATTTTGTGATACTCATGGATATTTAAAAGGATGATGTCTCATTTATCCTAGATGTAAAAGAGGTACATTTGGGTTATTTTCAGATTCTGGCTATGATAAAGTAATTCTGCTGTAAGCACGGCTGAACACATGGTCTTATGGTTAAACAGCTTTGTGTTTGGGTCCAAAAGAAATATTTCTAAATTTTAAGGTAGACATTTGCCTAATTTTAAAAATAGACAAAATGGGGGATCCCCCCTC